ATAAGAAATTCATGTAAGCTTAGAAATTTGAACATGAGAGTATTAAACTGAGATGGTAATTTGAAAGGCTGAAAGGGCATCAATAAAATGCATAAATTTAAAGTTTCAAATGCTTAAAGAGATTGGCTCATAAACATTTTCCAGAATGTTTCAGAGCATTTGTTTAAAATCTAGCATGTTTAGTTATGTAATATTAAAAGTGAATATTGAATTTTTTTTGCCAAGTGTTTACCTTCTTTTTATGTGCTCAGAGATTTTTGATACCATGTAAGTCCTTTATTTTTTATTTATTTTTTTAGTTTTTATTGTAATTTGGGTGAAAGTTTACAGAGCAAATTCATTTTGCATACAGCAGGTCATACACATTTTGTTTCATGACATTGACTGCAGTTCCCCACAGTGTAACAGCTGTCTTCCCACTTCCCGTTGTTACCTCTTCCTGTGTCCTTTTCTCCTATGCACACCTGCCCTAGAGCTGTCTCCCTGTGCAAACACTGCCCTTCTGTTCTCCCACAGTTGATAGCTCCAAGGGGTGTATCTACCTAATGTAAATGTTCACCCTATATGCCTGTCTCCTGTTTGGCTGGAAGCCATAAGAGTGAGTTCAGTTCCAGACCTGAAGGGTAACTAGGGGCCATCGTGTCAAGGGTCTTACTGGGCTCTGTCCAACCAGCAAACCTGGTCTTTGTTATGTGTGTGATTTTGAGTTTTGTTTCACATTGTTCTCCCATTCTATCCAGGATCTCCTGCAGCAATTCCCCCTCCACGTGGTTGATAGTGGTAGCTGGGCACCATCTAATTTTGGTCTCTTGGTTCTGTAGGCTGAGGATGGCTTGATTTCTCTAGACCAGGACCAACTGTTCAGTGTCAGAGTAGCTGGCTATGTCCAAGAAGCCATCACAACCTTGCCCCTTCTCAGCTGTACTGTACATCTGGACATTCTTACAGCATGTACAAGTATGCATGTAGAAACATCATCTGCCAACCCTATACATGGTCATGAGCACACTTCCCCTTGCCTGATCATTCAGCCTGTCCACCTGTCTATCCACCCATAGATAAATGCTTGCCATCACTGACAACACAGTACTGTACGTGCCAAAGGGTTCATCTTTGTTGTTTGTACCTCCCATGTGCTCTCTTTGTCTTCCTCTTCCTCAGTCCTACTGTGTTGATCACTCATTTTTGTATGTTGCCTTCCCCCAAATCAATATTTTTCTCTACCTATCTAGCAATGTTGTTCCCTTCCCTCGTCTCCCCTCCCATCCCTGGTAACCAACAGAGGAAGTTTCCTTCCATATATGAACCTTTCCTTGACTTTACAGTAGTGAACTAATACAGTACAATATTTGCCCTTCTGTGATTGACTTACTTCACTCAGCATAATGTCCTCCAAGTTTATCCACGTTGTGCAGTGTTTTGCAGATTCATTATTCTGTAGTGTTGCATGGTATACATTGTGTGTATGTACCGTAATTTGGTTATCCATTGCTATTGTGTATAGTGCTGCGATGAACATTGGTATGTATCTGTTCTTGTCCTGGCTTTCACTTCTTTATGATATATACCTGGTAATGGGGTTTCTGGATCAAAGTATATCAAATTCCAACTTCTTTACCATCTAAGTCTTCTGTCATTCTACTAGTGAAAAGAATTGAATAACTTAAAAAAAAAAGTACAAAGTGAGTTAGAAGGTAACATTTTGTACTCTGTGAAACTTACATTATTTATATTGTTAATTAATCAATTGTCTATTACTTGTTTCTTAGGTAAAAAGCCTAAATAAATTTTGTACAAGCGTGGCTTATGGATGAAGATTTTGAATTTATGAGTAAATTTTATTTATCCTTTGTCTTTCATTGTAGATAAACAAGAAAATTTACACTTCTTACCTTTAGGGAGGGTTATCTTCTGCTGGCACAAACCCACATACCATAATAGTTTTTGTTCTTGTTAAGTACTTGTCTGCTGACTGCATTATCTGCATCATGTCTGTGTCTCCTTCTATAGATTTTATTTAATCTCTTGATGATCAGTGACTTTTTTTTTTTAATTCTTTGGATGTCTAGTCATGTTTGTGTGCTACATTTTCTAAGTTATATTTATAGAGGCTCAAGATTGTGTTATTGTCCTCCGATGAGTATTGAGTTTGGTTCTTGGAGGCAGCTAATTTATTTGTGGATTATCTTGGTTTTAGGATCTATTGGACAGGTGTATTTCAGTTTTCCTCTTACTCTTGAGGCTTAAATCTTATTCCTAAGGGCATGATCCTTATTCCTAGGGCATGGCCTTTATAGGATTTTATCTGAAAGGTGAGAGCTTTTCACTCACCTACTCTTTTTGGCACAGTGGTTAAAGCGTTTGGCTACTAACCAAAGGTCAACAGTTTGAATCCACCAGCCACTCTTGGAAGAAGGTTGAGGCAATCTGCTTCTGTAAAGATTTACAGCCATGGAATCCATATGGAGCAGTTCTGCTCTGGCCTGTAGGGTCCTATGAGTTGGAATCAAGTTAATGGCAGTGAGTTTGGATTTTTGGTTTTACTCTCACTGGGTCGGAATTCAGTCTTCCTAATGCTGTGTGTCCTCTGAAATCTTGGCTTTGCACAATTGAGCACAATCAAGACATTGTCAATGTGTGCCCCTCCCTCATGTTGCACTTTTTTTTTTAAATTGTGATTTGTGTGAAAGTTTACAGAGCAAATTCACTTTCCATATAGCAGCTCACATATACTTTGTCTCAGGACATTGGCTGCAATTTCCTAAAATGCAACAGCTCCCCTCCCACTTCCTCCCCAGTTACCTCTTCCTTGTGTCCTTCCCTCCGGTGCACTCCTGCCCTTTGAGCTGTGTCCCTGTGCATACACATTCCTTCTGTTCTCCCACGATTGATCTCTCTAAGGAGTGTGTATCTACCTAGTGTAAATGTTCAGCTCATATGCCTGTCTTTTGTTTGGCTGGAAGCCACAGGAGTGGGTTCAATTCCAGATCTGAAGGGCAGCTGGGGGCCATAGTCTCAGGGATTCCATCAGGCTCTGTCAGACCAGTAAACCTGGTTCCCCCCCCCTTTTTTTAAATGCTTTTGAATTTATTCTACTTTGTTCTCCCATTCTATGCAGAATCTCCTACGTAGATCCCCCTCCAAGTGGTTGACAGTGGTAGCCAGGCACCATCTAGTTCTTCTGATCTCCTAGTCTCATAGGCCCATGTTTCCCTTTATAGACTAGTAAAAAGAAGTTCCTACTCTGCATCTTTTAGATGATACATCTTTGATTTATGTATCTTGTTAGGCAAACATCTGAGTATTGTTTTGTTGGTGTAGTTTAAATTTGGTACCAGCTACTGATTTTGTTGCCATCATCATTTTTGTTTCAGCATTTGGTGATTTTCCTTAGCTATAAAGTTTTTTTTTTTTTTTT